CTCCTCTCCAACAGTTTGGAGGCGTACGCGCTCTGCCCGAGCGTGAGTTCCTCCTTCCCTTGCCTCACCTCGATGCCGAGGTAGTAGGAGAGTGCGCCAAGATCGCTCATTCGAAAACGAGCTGCCATCTCGCGCTTGAAGCTGTTGAGGTCCTCCGTGCATGCGCCAATGACGATTAAGTCATCCACATACACGCCGACCACGAGCTCTTCCTTCCCCCGTCGTCGCGTGTAGAGCGCGTGCTCGGTTGCGCACCTCTGAAACCCAAGCTCGCCCAGCGTGGTGTCAAGCTTGGCGTTCCATGCTCGAGGGCTTGCCGCTGCCGTGAGCGCTTTCTTGCAACCGAGCACCTCGCTCCTCTCTCCTTGACAAACCACCCTGGAGGTTGCCTGACGAAGACTGTTTCCGTCAGCTCGCCATTGAGGAAGGCCGATTTAACGTCCAAGTGATGGATGCACCATTCCTTTGCTGCCGCCAAAGCAAGTAGCAAACGGACCGACTCCATGCGCGCTACTGGCGCAAAGACCTCCTCGAAGTCGAGGCCCTCGCGCTAGACAAAGCCTCGGGCGACGAGGCGTGCCTTGTGCTTGACGATGGCGCCGAGCTCGTCCCTTTTGACTTTGTACACCCACTTCAGGCTGATCGGACGACATCCTGGGGGTGGATCGACGAGCTGCCAAGTCTCGTTTTCCTCGATCGCCTTCATCTCCTCCAGCATTGCCCGTCGCCAGTTTCCATCGCGCTCGGCTAGCGCGAACGTGGGTGGTTTCGCCGCACTGACGAGTAGCAGCTCTGTGTCATTGAGCAGCCTGGGCGCCGGTCCTGAAGGACCTGTGCCGCCGACGATATCGTCCAGCCTGCGGAACCTCAACTCCTTCCCTTCGTGGTAGGCGTCCACGAACTCAGTGGTATCACTTGGAGGTGAGACGAACTCGATCGGGGGCGATGGAGTTCCTTCTTCCGCCGGAGTGCCCTGCATAGCACCCGAAGTGCTCGGCACTTCTTCTGGACTGCTCGTCATAACTCCTGTAGTGTTCGGCCACACTGTAGGAGTGCCCAGCCTCAGTCTTGGAGTGGTCGGTACCACAGTAAGACGTCTTGGCTCCGCTACGGGAGTGCTCGGCACCCGTCCTGAAGTGGTCGCCACCACTGCAGAACCTCCTGGCTCCACTCCTAGCGTGCTCGGCATCCCTCTAGAAGTGCACGACACTCCTCCCGGAGTGCTCGGCATTGCTCCCGAAGTGCTCGGCACTGCCCTAGAAGTGCTCGACTCTACCGCCGGAGTGCTCGACGCTCCTCCCGGAGTGCGTGGTACCTGTTCCGCAGTGTCTCCATTGCCGTGGATGACCAAGTGCTCGACGACGAAGGTTTTGGTGAAGCCTCCCGCTTCCCCCATGCTCGGACTGTTCCAGTCCCAAGCTACCTCCTCGTTGAACACAACGTCGCGCGAGACACAGTCACCTTGTCTCCGCGAGGGTCATAGAGCCGGTACGCCTTGGTACCCTCCGCGTAGCCCAGGAACACCATGGGTGTGCTCCTATCCTCCAGCTTGGTGAGGTTCGGTTTCGTTTTCCTGACGTGGCCGATGCAACCGAATGTCTGGAGGAATGACACGTGCGGCTTGCGCCCGTACCAATCTTCGAACGGCGTCTTGCCCATTAGGGCCTTAGTTGGAGCGCGGTTGAGGATGAACACCGCCGTGGTCACCGCCTCTCGCTAGAACTTTGCCGGCATCCCTTTGGCCTTCATCATGGATCAGGCCATGCCGACCACTGTCTGGTTCCGTTGCTCCACCACGCCATTCTATTGTGGTGAGTACGGCGTGGTGTGATGTTGCCCCACACCTTGATCCGCGCAGTACGTAGCAAACTCCACCGAAGTGAATTCGCCACCCTGATCAGTCCTCAGTACACAGAGCTTCTTGCCGCTCTCAGCCTCCGCGCGCGTCTTGAACTTCTTGATCGCCACCGCCGCTTCGTCCTTGCTCGTCAGAAGTTGCAGCCACATGTAGCGACTGCAATCGTCCACGAGCAGGAGGAAGTACCGCCGACCATCGCATGTAGCAGGCGTGATCGGCCCACAGAGGTCGCCGTGAACTAGCTCGAGAGCTTGCTTCGCGTGATACTTGGCCGCCTTTGGAAAAGGTAGCCTCCTCTGCTTCTCGGCCAGGCAGCTGTCACACAGCTCGCCTCCGTGTTTGATGTGGGGTAGCCCTCGGACCATCTTCCCTAGCCGACCAAGCGCATCGAAGTTGAGATGTCCGAACCGAGCATGCCATATCCACGGCTCCTCGAAGTGCCTTGCCGCTAGGCAGATCGGCTGCTCTACCTTTAGGTCGAGCAGGTACAACCGGTTTAGGGACCTTTTCACCTTGGTTAGAAGTCGCTGCTCCCGGTCTCTGATCCTCAGAACGCCGTCCTTGATTAGAACCTCGCTACCGCGCTCATCCAGCTGACCAATGCTGATGATGCTGGAACGCAGCTGCGGGATGTAGTATACATCCGTTAGCGTGCGGTGCTCCCAGTTCTGGCATCTGAAGATGATGGTGCCGCGCCCTTGGATGGCCACCCTTGAGCCGTCACCAAACTTCACCGTACCGGTAACATCACCGTCGAGCTCGGAGAAGGAGTCCTTGGAGCCCGTCATGTGGTTACTGGCACCAGAGTCTAGATACCACCGCTGCTCCTGGTCGGCGCCCACACGCCCGAGATGGACTTGGGCGCGTGGTTCGTCGATGTTAACGGTCTTCAGGGCCTTGCTAGATCCTTCCACCGTTGTCGCCTCTTCCCTCTCCATGGCCTCGACGTCGTGCAATGCACAGAACGTCGCCATAAGGATAGTGGCCTCATTCTCATCATCAGCTTTCGCCAGGTGAGCCTGAGCCTTCTTTTCCTTCTTGCGATTTGGGCACTCCCGTGCCCAATGGCCCATCTTCCCGCAACACCGATAGGCGTTGGAGTCGATTTGCTTCTTCTCCGAAGAAGCCCTGCCGTGATGTTTGTCGTTGCCACCGCGACTGGAGGAGGTTGCCTTTCCGGAGTTTCGCCGAGCAGCCCACTCCTCTTCCGTCAGCAGGAGTTTCCCGCTGTCCTTCGTTGCTATCGCCTGCTCTAGGCGCTCTTCCACCGCCCGCAGACGGCCTGCCACATCCTCGATGGTGAGGGTGGACAAGTCCAGCATCGTCTCTATGGAGAGAGCGATCTGGATGTACTTTTGTCGGCATGGAGTGGAGGAATTTGGAGACCGCCTCCTCTTCGTCGATGGTGACGCCGTGGCTCTTCAGCTTGCTGATGAGCGTCTGCAGGCGGAGGAAAAAGTCATCCACTGTTTCATCATCCTTGAACTTGAGGTTTGCGTACTCCTGCTTCAGAAGCTAGGCCGTCGCCTTCTTTGCGCGGTCGGAACCGACGCGCATCGCCGCAATGGCCTCCCACGCCTCCTTAGCTGAGCTTTTCGTCCCCAACGGTTCCTCAGATCTGCGGTGCAGCAGCGCGAGGATAGCCTCCAACGCCGACATGTCGTTTTCTTCCACGCTTGTGCCCTTGTCAACAGATTCCGCAGCCGTCGGGCTCTCGAAGCTTGACCTTCATGGCCACCGACCACTCTCCATAGTTAGTGCGAGTCAGCGTCGGCCAAGTGGTGCCGCTGACCTCCCGCACCGTGCGGACAACTACCTTCGGTAGTGGCTGGGCAGCTATGATAGTGCCACTGCCGTCGCCCAACTCCAAACCGCCTGTCATCGCCATCGGTTAGAATGACGACGGCGCTTGTACGTAGCTCTGATACCACTTGTTGACCTACGGGATCACCGGCTGACGACAGTGAACCAGATAGCCTCCAGACCACTAGTCTCTAGACCACTAGTCTTAGACCCCTGTAGTCTCCAGACCACTAGTCTCAGACCCCTGGCCTCCAGACCACTAGTCTACAGACCACTAGCCGTGTCGACCACCGTACCGGCTTTGTCCGTACCCACATACTACAGATCGAGCTCGAAGAGGAAGGGAGAACAGAGCAAGCACGCACAATACAAGACAACAACGTTGGCCGAGGCCCTGTCTGTGTGATGGCAAATCTGAGCTCTCTTTACTGAGTTGCCTTAGTGTCCTATTTATATAACTCTATCTATCTAACTAAAATACATCGCACATGTCTTTATAAAGAATTCTAGATAAGCATATAAGGCTGACTCTGCTACACGCCAACGTGCATGTGCCTCTGATCTTGCAGTGTGAGCCGTGCATGGCGCCTGCACTGCAAGAATCTGCCACAAGATCACAAGAGGGGGGCAAAGTCGGCGCCGCCTTCCTCTGCTGTGTTCTTACAAGGTGGCAGTAGATTAGCTAACAGTAACTCCAATATTTGCATCCTGACTGAGGTAAAGCTTTTACTTGTATTCATTGAGAGGAAGAAAACCTTTTACTTTGCATTCTGTGTTATTTTTTTGGGGGAAAGGGGGGGGGGGTTGTTTGAGATGTAGCTGAGAATGGCAGGTAAGTAGGTAACCAAATTCTCACCTGTCCCATTATTTTTTTTCTCGAATAACCTGTCCCGTTAATTATCATCCGTAACAGTAATTGATGCCATTTATCAGTGGACCAAGCAAATGGCATTAATTTCTTATAAGAACATATTAATTGTTTCAGACCACCAGAAAAGCTGGTCAGAAGTGCCCACGATATTGCAATCAGAAGACGGTCACCACCTGTGTCCCAAAACGGGTACAAGGGCGTAGGAAGTTTCATGTCTCCGGTACTCTCCCATCTTTGGCTCGACCGACATTACATGATAACGAAAAGAAAAGGCATCACAAACCCCACAACACAAGCTTGTTGAAGAGATAAACAGTATGCATAAGGTCTTACACACACTTTCTACTCGAGCAGTGAGTGGGTAAGTGAGATAACATGTAGTGACGGGTAGACTGGTATCAAAACTAACATTGCAACTTTATGTAGGTAAAAAAAGGTTCCAATGGAGAGCTGGCTGCAAGTTTTTGATCAGGCAGAAGGATTCTCCCACTTGAGGGGCTTCACAAGCTCCCAGGTGAAGTCCGGGTCATCCCTGCCAAAGTGCCCATACGCCGCCGTCTTGAGAGAACGGCCATTCCCACCTCTCTTCAGGTCAAGGTCGATGATGATCATCCCTGGCCTGAAGTCAAAGTTCTCCAGCACATTCTTCAGGATCTCCTTGTCAGGGATCTTGCCTGTCTCATATGTGTCAACAAACACTGATAGCGGTTCAGGCACACCAATGGCATACGACACTTGGACAATGCAACGGCGGGCAAGACCACTGGCCACAATGCTCTTGGCCGCCTGCCTTGCAATATAGGCTCCACTGCGGTCAACCTTGGTTGGGTCCTTGCCAGAGGAAGCACCACCACCGTGGGCACCCCAGCCTCCATAAGTGTCAATGATGATCTTCCTGCCAGTAAGACCCGCATCACCATGAGGTCCACCAATGACAAAGCGACCTGATGGATTGAGATGGAAAATGGTCTTCTCATCAAGGTACTGCTCTGGAATGACAGGCTTAATGACGTGTTCCTTCAGTCATTGGTAACAGTCTTGTCATGCTGGGTAGAGATGAGCACAGTGTGGACACGAATAGGGACCGTGGCACCATTGTCGTTATGGTACTCAACAGTCACCTGGGTCTTCCCATCAGGCCTCAGCCATGGGCAGGTCCCATTCTTGCGGACCTCGGTTAGGCACCAAGCTTGGTTGCAAGAACATGGCTCAGGGGCATCATTTCAGGGGTCTCATCAGTTGCATATCCAAACATGTGCCCCTGGTCGCCAGCACCAATCTCCTCAGGACGCTTGGTGAAGTGACCATGAACACCCTGTGCAATGTCAGGTGACTGCTGTTCAATGCTGACAAGCACCTTGCAGTGGTCAGCATCCAGCCCTACATCATTGGACACAAAGCCAATCCCACGGCAGGTATCCCTGACAATCTTCTCATAGTCAACATTGGCTTTGGTAGGCCTTGTTTAGTTAGCGATTTTTTTTGAAAATGGTATTGTAGCACTTTTGTTGTTATTTGACAATTAATGTCTAATCATAGTCTAATTAGGCTTAAAAGATTCGTCTCGTGAATTTCGTCTAAACTATGTAATTAGTTTTATTTTTTATTTATATTTAATGATTCATGCATGCGTCCAAAGATTCGATGTGACGGGAAATCTTGAAAAATTTTGCAAAATTTTGAAAACTAAACAGACACTTAGTCTTGGTGCAGGTCTCACAAGCAACCTTGCTGTTAGGGTCTTCAGCGAGGCATGCATCAAGCACTGCATCAGATATCTGGTCACAGAGCTTATCAGGGTGGCCTTCATTGACGGACTCAGATGTGAAAAGGAACGTGTCAAGTTCAGCCATCTTCGTGGACCTGCGTAACACAGTAACATGCGCACCTCAGAAGTCAGGAGAAACAAGGTACCAGGAAACTATCCAGATCCAGACTTCAAAAAATTTCCAAAGACTGCTTTGAGTGGACATTTTTTATCAGTGACACACATCTAAATTACTTCCCAATAGAACTGATTCAAATTAATAAAAGATAACAAAGCCACTGAATATACAAGCATATAAGCTTTTCTGATATGATAAATATCTCAAGATGAGGTACTATCTGTACAGGGACCTGACTGACCAAAACATAGGACTTGAAATTTCATTTCAATAAAGAACACAATTGTCCTGTCCAAACTTAGTACAATCCAAGCAATGCAGTTGTGGAAGATGCTAATGTAGCAATCACAAAGGACAAAAATATTCTAAGGCATCTTATCAGCTAAAACAGCGCTAAAGAGAGAACTGCTAGTGAACAAACAAACGAAGTCTGCGACAAGATTATTCAAAGTTTCAAACAAGGAAAATATACAAAATCCAATGCTTGTTCATCAATAACACCATTTACAATTATGGATCACATTGAAAATGTGCCCAAGCCAATGCTGCTGACAATTGAACCTACTCAACAGTGGAAAACTTAAGGAATATGCTAAACACTACTTGATTCTGCTAGGAATAACAACTCCAAATTTTAACACAAGATTCCACGAAACAATAGAAGGCCCATTGGACCCCACTTGACTTCCTACTAAACAGTCTGTGACTAAGCGTTCGTACAAGCATCTGAGTCAGCTCTCACCCGCTTTGTTCTTCAATGGACGAGATTCTACGCAGCGAATATATGGTTCTCTTCGCTGGGAGAAATTTGGAGAAATCTGAAGAAATTTGTGAGAGAGCAAACAGTGAATTTCAGTCATAAACAGTGAATTCCGGCTGAAATTCACACCAGCCGAACAGCCCCATAAGCATAAAAAACGAACCTTTCCACCCCGCCTAGGTGCGGAAGAATCAAAGTTGCAAACTTTCGGTGCGCCACAGTAAGATTCCTAGAGCTATAGAAGCACACATTCACCATTGCTCCAACGCTGATCCTTCAATACTAGTACTCGATGCTATACTACAAAGGAAAAATGGCTACACAACCTTCCAAGACCGCCGCAAGAAGAAACAACGCCAGATGACTAGATCTGGGCCACCAATTAGCGAGGACTTGGCTGTAACCTACCCGTTCGTGATCTAATCCTTCTGCAACCCGGCTAATAGACAAAAACAAAATGACCAGAAAAGGTAGCCGCTAATCTACAGCCCGTTCGGCAGCCAGCCCCTCAATGGGGCCAGCCCCTCAGATGGGCACTATTCACATGAACCAGCCATCAGTACTTCTCTCTCACATAAACGAACCAGCAACGATACAAACCAGCCAACCGAACAGGTCGTAGTTCCCGAGAAGAGCGGACGCGTTGCTCAATGAACGGGACAAAACCCCAGGAGACCCGGAAAGAAACAATGAACAACCAATCAATCAATCTCTCGCAGAGTACAACAGAATAACCGAGCTAGATTGAAAGATGTTAGTGGTGATCTCTCCAGCTCGGGCCAACGGCCGAGTTGGGCCTTGACCTCGCGTCCTGATCGGGGGCGCAAACCCTATATGGTTGGTGGCCCCCCGTGACACCGCGCTATAAAAAGAGGTGGGGACCGGCGGCTCTCTTGATGAGGTTCACTGTGAGCAGCCACGGTCGCCCCACCGGCATAACCCTAATCCGATCTAGAGGATACGCAGCCAGTGACGGGAAGCTCCATTGCCTCGCCGCCACCGTACTGCGTCACCGGACTTCACCGCTGGGACACCGCGCCACTTCTGGACCGCACCATCGGACTCTACAGCAACACCAACATCGCCGTAGATGGCTCCAGCTTCTCCGCTAAGCCCCCCGATGGTCGGTGACGTCTCACATCCGCACACCTCTCTCTCTCTAGTTCCTCGTCATTGTTCATGTTTTAGGATCTTTTATCCCGAATAGAAAAGGTAGTGCCCGCACCGGTGCCCGGAGTAGGAAGGACATAGACGGGCAGCACGTCGCCTCACCTTAGCTCGCGGCAGCGGCGGCGGCGATGGGAGGGGGAGACAGAAACGGAGCGGCGCTGCTAATACGGAAACGCCGTAGTAATAGCAGTAGACCCGACCCGTTGTGCCGTCCGACGCAGAGGGGAGGTCGTTCGCGTCGCACTTGCTGGGTCAGGCCCAGCAAGGGCGAGTGGAGTTGGGATCGCGATCCACCCATCTCCCTCTCTATAGGCTGTGGCCTGTGGGTGTTTCGCCACCAAACCTAAAAAGGCCCATTCCATGCGAGCCCAACACGGTTTGGTGATCCTATATAAAAAAACACGGTTTGGTAATTTTCCTCGTCTGGCCCGACTGACCGTGTGTCCGTGTCCTTCGATCGACGGTTCTACCTTGACGCTGATCTGTTGCTCCAAAAAAAAAAAAAACTGATGCTGATCTGGCAGTCAAGTGTGTAGAGTACTGAGCTAACAGCTTTTCTTTTTCTAGCGATGTTAGCAGGTGCTCTGCCTTTTCATCTCAGTAGAAAGCAGAGAAAGTATCTACAGTCTACACGGAAGCAAACTGAAAACTTTTGGGAAATCGACTGCTGGCTGTTGCTGACGGAGATCCAACAAAAGTTAGGCTATTGTTTTTTTGAAACTAGTTAGGCTATTGATATAGTACATGGCACATGTGGTGTACAGAAACAACTTCTACAATACAGTGCTCCCTTTATTTCAAATTATAATGCATTTTTCTAAATACATTATTTTTACTATACATGTATATAAAAAAATCAAAACGTCTTATCTCGTATTGTTATTCCCTAGGCCTATGCTACTCATGACAATTAGTTTATTCGTGTCCGTGTCTATGACAGGACGATATTTCTTGCTTCTTTTCTGTTCTTTGTTTATGCATGCCAACACTAGAAGAGGATTTTTAAGGCAGGGTGTTTTCCATTACTAGAGGCAGACTACCCGATAGTGGTAGTGGACCATTTTCAGAGACCGTTGAGATGATGGCTTATATATATTAATCTCATTAACCTTGGCCACACATTTAGGGCATCCACTTCCATTAGGCATGCGGCTTAAGATATTTGTCTATGTTAATAATTTTTGGAATTACAAAAACTCCTACTGCCTCTCTCAATAATTCCACATTTTCATATACAAAATACAACTAATCCCAATCCAGAATAGACAAACACAACCACCACCAACATGTAGTGTTTGCTATGTCGAAGAATTGTATGTGTATTGGTATTGCTTCATAATAAAAAAAACAAAGTGTAAAATTAATTTACCAATATTGATATATCATAATGTTCATTCAAAATGTATAAACTTATCTAAAGTACCAATTTTAGAATTTATTGTCATGGAGTATTAATATAATTTAAAGTAAAATGCCAGTATCATTAGTACATGGTTTGTTGAGAAAACATTTTCTACTATTGAATAAACTATTAAATAATTATTTATTTTAATGTATGCATATTTAAAGTAAAATGCCAATATTATTAGTACATATAGTGGCACATACTCTCTCCATTCCAAATTATGCATTTTGGATTTTCTAAACATATTGCTTTTATTATGTATCTAAACAAAGTGTATATCTAAGTACGTAGCAAAAATTATGTATCTAGAAAAGCCAAAATATCTTATAATTTAAAAAGGAGGGAGTAACATTTATGCTTACTTTTATCATAACACTAGTAGAGGTGTGCAATTTAGGAACATATATCATACTTTATTGAGATATTTCCATAGTAGCTTTTATTGGTGTTTAGAAATAGATTTGAGGGATATTTTATTTCATTTCTTATAATGACAGAGGTCGGTAATTTAGATGTAAATTAAAGGGATTACTTTATATTATTTTTCGTAATGGTATATGTGTGTAATTTAAAAGCAAATCTAGGAGTTGCTTTGCATTATCTTTCATACGATAAATGTGTTAATTTACATAAAATTTATGGGATTATTTTAAATTATCTTTTGATAATGACCATGGTGGTTAATTGTGATGCAAATCTTGGGGTTACTTTCTATTTCTTTAATGACATATGTGAGTAACTTCTTTAGAATAATTGATCCAATGGCTATTGTTGGTGATGTGATTAGAGCTTACTCCTACTAAATTAAATAAAACGTTTCAGATTTTTGTGAGAATCTTTAGTACTTGTCTTTTTTTTCTAGCGTGTGTCTGTGAGCCTCCTTTGTAGCCTCTGGTTTGTAATCCTATTAAGATCCTATTTTCCAACTAAAATTATGTCCTCCTCACTCGTACTTTCCTCTGTTCCACTTAAAGGCCACGCACAATATATATACTAAAGGCTTTCCAAAATTGCAGTGGTTAGTTGAAGTTCGCTTTATAGTTGAATTAGAGGTTGTGGCTTTGCACAATAGATGGAGAACCAACAATTTTTTTCTTTTAATTATTTCTTTTTTGTGTTCTCTTTGCTGAGCAGCTAATGAGCTGAAATATTGTAAGAACTAAATTGTATATAGTCGCAGAGCCGAAGACAATTTTGTTTTTCTAAGAAAAAATCATCCAAACCAGAATGTACTTATCAAGTTCAGTATAAATTAGCTTATAGACTGTAGAGTAATAAAGATGATAACAAAGTCAGTCATGAAGCTTTAGGGGGAAACATAATAAAAGCTATATGTTGTTGTTTCTTACAATACCACAAGATATCGCATGGAATTAAGCTTACAGCTGACCAAAGGATCACCTAACCAGATGCATCCAGAATTATACCGGTGAACTGAAGCAAGTGAACCTACTCATCCTATTCCTATCTATGCATATATGGCCATCACATCATCTCTTGACCGACAATCCAATAATACCGACAAATAGACCAATAATAATACACATAAATATAGTAATCTCACAGGCCAGTGTGCCATGAAATTTATTCAATATCTGACGAAAACAACCTTGCTATTTGAAAACAACTCAGTCTCTAAATGTCGATCAAGCAGATTAAACTGAAGCAAAGATAGAACGTAACAACTAGCTAGTCTTGCATCCAAGAACGAAACGCTATAGCTAGCAACGAAGTAGAAGCTAGCATGCCGGCATCATCAGTATATAGTAGGCTAGAAGTTGAAGTGGTAGCCTAGTACTCGTCCACCACTTCCATCAGTCTACTGGCCACTGCACTCGCAAACACTGAAGAACCCTTGTGAATCTGCATCAAAGTGAACAAATTAATTAAAGAAAAAAGTATATATTGTCATCTGAAAATTGCATTAATTTTTGAGCACGTAGGTACACAGTAGCAAAGTTCTTAAACCTAGGGAAAAGTAATGCATGAAATCGTCAGGATACAGAATTACAGATCGATGGCGGCTAACGTATGTACCTTAGTGTTGAACATATAGATGTGGCAGTCACCGATCTTGCCGCCGGAGAGGTGGACGAGGTCAAGGCGGAGGTCGTCCAGCGCGCGCGACGCGGCCGCGAGGCACCCATCGCGGCGGCGCTTGGTGAGCTTGATGTTCACGTCTTCCTCCACTATCCGCACGTCCACGGACGTGTCCTTGCTCCGCCGCTGGATGTACGTGCTCCGGATCGGCTGCCGCTGCACGGCCGGCGGCGGCGGCGGTGCCACCTCGCCCTCAGAGCTCTCCGCCTCACCACCGATGGCCGCGACCACTACAGCGGGCGCCGCGTCCACCACGTCCCCCTGCAGCTCCCTCCGGCGCCGCTTCTTCTCCACCAGCAGCGTCAGCTCCTCCACCGTCCTCCCCAGCTCCTGGATGTACTCAATCGCGTCCGAGATCACCGTCGCCCTATCAGGCTGCATCAGCGCCAAAAATAAACAGCAAGAAGAATCGTGAATTAATTTAAATTGAGACCGATGAACAGAAGAGAATTTGGTCCGATATTACGTTGTACTACCTTTGTAACGTTGGGTATGAGGTGCAGGAGGGCGGTGTACTTCTCAGTGAGCCGCTGCCGGCGCTGCTTCTCCTTCTTCTCGACGCCATTGGCCAGCCCAGCATGGA